CCCCCCGGGCCTTATCGGGGTTCACCGACCCCCTCCGGGCTCCTCCCCGGGCATGTCCGTTCCCCTCAGGCCTCAGCAGGACCCCCCGGGCCTTATCGGGGTTCACCGACGCCCCCCGGGCCCCTCCCCGGGCCTGTTCTGTCCCCGCCCCGGGCCTCCGTGGGAACCGTCACGGCCCCCCGGGCCTGTCCTGCTTTCCCCGCCCCTCACCGGGACCCCCCGGGCCTCACCGGGACCCCCCAGCTCCCCCGGGCCTGTTCAGCCCCCCCCAATCCGGGCCGCATCCCCCATCCCCCACCCTGACCCCCCCCGCCTGGAGCCCCCGGGGGGATGGGGGGACACCGGGGGGGATGGGGGGACACGGAGGGGGGGCAGCGGCGCGTTCAGCCCCCCCCGATCCGCGGGGACCCCCCCACCGGCCGATGGCTGGGAAATCAGCCCTCGACACCCAGCCCGGGATGCTGAGCGGGTTTGGGGGGGCCGGGGGGGCTGGGGACCCCCAGGAGCTGGTGACCCCCCCAGAAGGGCTTGTGGGGTCCCCTGGGGACACGGAGGGGGTGACACTGCCCTTGTTATTGTAGGGTCACCTGGGCGGGGAGGGGTCCGGGGGGTTGGCGTGCCCCCAGACTGGGTCAGAGGGGTGCTGGGGGCCATCTGTGACCCCTCCTTGTCCCCCCGTGTCCCCCCAGTCCCGGGCTCGTGGCTCTGCTGATCCAGCGCTCGCTGCTCGTGTCCCCCATGGGCTCACCAGGTGGGTGTGGGGGACACCCCGCTCTGGGGACCCCCCCGTGCCGTGTGAACCCCACTGGCTTTGGGGACCCCCTTGGGACCCTCCCCCCGGGCTGCAGTGACCTCCTCGCCCACCCCACACCTGTGCGACCCCCTGACTCTGGGGACCCCCTTGGAACCCCTCCCCCCCGCCATGGAGCAGCCCTCGGGTTCTGGGGACCCCCCTCGGGCCCCCCCGGCTGTGGGACCCTGCGGGATGGGGAGGGTGGTGCTGGGGAGGCCCCAAACCTCGCCCCCACCCCCAGGGGTCACAGCGTGGTGACACCCCCGGGGTGTCCCAGATTTGGGGCACAGGGCAGGTTTAACCCTTGGGTGGCACCGTGGGTGGGTAAATGTCCCCCCGGGGGGCAGGGGACACTGTGGCCCCCTCAGGAACACCCCTGGGTGTCCTGTCCGGGCTCTGGGCATTCTGGAGGAGTCCCTTAAGTGCCCAAACTCAGAGGGTTTTGGGGGGGCTCATGTTTAGACTCTGATTTTGGGGAGCGACCCAGATTCTCTCAGCTCTGGGGTTTTGCAGGCTCCATACCCAGTCTCAGAGGGTTTTGGGGTCCCTGCCCGGTCTGTGAGAGATTTTGGGGATCCATGTCCAGTGTCAGAGGGTTTTGGGGTCCATGCCCAGTCTCAGACTTTGAAGATCCCATGCCCAAATTTTGGGGTTCCAAGGGTCCCGTGGCCAGCCCTTGATGGTTTTGGGGTGTCACCCCTCCATGTTCTTTGTCCTGCCAAGGATGTCGGGGTGTGTGGGGGCCACATGGTGCCAATGGGGTCCAGCCTGTGGGGGTTTAGAGGGTCCCGTGCCAGTCCCTGGCAGTTTTGGGGTCCCCCGGTATCATTTGTGCTGTCAAGGATGTTGGGGTGCAGGGGGGCCACCAAGAGCTGGGTGCTGGTGACGGTTGGGTCTGGGCTTAGAGGGTTTTGGGGGTCCATCCCCGGATGGTTTGGGGTGCCCGTGGGTGTTTAGGAGGTCTGTGCCCAGTCTCTGGGGTTTGAGGTGCCCCTGCCTGGCCTGATGGTTTTGGGGTTCACGCTGTAGAGGATCTCAGGGTGTGGGGGCCGCACCAGGAGTTGGGTGACGGTGCCAGCAGGGTCCAATCTCTGGGGATGGGGGGGCCAATGTCCAGCCCCGGATGATTTGGGGTGTCCATGGGCATTTTGGGGTCCATGCCCAGCTCCGGATGATTTGGGGTGTCCGTGGGCATTTTGGGGTCCATGCCCAGCCCCGGATGATTTGGGGTGTCCATGGGCATTTTGGGGTCCATGCCCAGCTCCGGATGATTTGGGGTGTCCGTGGGCATTTTGGGGTCCATGCCCAGCCCCGGATGATTTGGGGTGTCCGTGGGCATTTTGGGGTCCATGCCCAGCCCCGGATGATTTGGGGTGTCCATGGGCATTTTGGGGTCCATGCCCAGCCCCGGATGATTTGGGGTGTCCGTGGGCATTTTGGGGTCCATGCCCAGCTCCGGATGATTTGGGGTGTCCACGGGCATTCTGGGGTCCGTGCCCAGTCTTTTGGTGTTTTGGGGTGTCTGTGCACAGTCCCTGGGTGCTCGGGGCCCCATTCCCAGTCTCTGGGTGTTTTGGGGTGTCCATGGGTGTTCTGGGGTCCGTGCCCTGTCTCCAGGTGCTTTGGGGTGTCTGTGCCTAATCTCTGGGTGTTTTGGGATGTCCATGCCCAGCTCCTGATGTTTTGGGGTGTCTATGGGTATTTTGGAGTCCGTACCTAGCCCCTGGGTGTTTTAGGGTCCGTGCCCAGTCCCTGGGTGTTTTGGGGTGTCCATGTGAGTTTTAGGGCCCTTACCCAGTCCCTGGGTGTTTTGGGGTGTCCATGTGTGTTTTGGGGTCTGTACCCAGTCCCTGGGTGTTTTGGGGTGTCCATGTGAGTTTTAGGGTCCTTACCCAGTCTCTGGGTGTTTTGGGGTGTCCATGTGTGTTTTGGGGTCTGTACCCAGTCTCTGGGTGTTTTGGGGTGTCCATGTGTGTTTTGGGGTCTGTACCCGGTCCCTGGGTGTTCTGGGGTCCGTGCCCAGTCCCGGCTTGCTCCCCTGACGCAGCCGGGGTGTCCCCGCAGTGTCCTTCGTGCTGTCGAGGATGTCGGGGTGCGGGGGCCCCGCCAAGAGCCGTGTGACGGTGCCGAAGCGCGTGTGGGAGTTCGTGACGCGGGAGCGCGCGGCGCGCCTGGCGCTGCTGGCGCAGGAGGCGCGGGTGCGGATCCTGGTGGACGGCGAGACCCCCGAGCTGTACGTGCTGCAGCTGTGCGCGACCCCCCCGGGCCCGCCCGGCGCCGCGGGGCTCTGCCCGGCCCGCAAGGCGCTCAAGGCGCTGCTCAAGGAGACCGAGAAGGAGCTCAAGAAGCGCAGCCAGCGGCACGGCGAGGTGCTGGGGGCCCGGCCGGAGCCCCCCGCGGGCGCCGCGGGTCCCCCCGGTGCGGGCCCGGCGCGGGACGAGGAGCCGGAGCGGCAGTGCCCGATCTGCCTGGGGGAGATGCGGGGGCCCCGCACGCTGGAGCGCTGCCGCCACTCGTTCTGCGGGGAGTGCATCGCGCGGGCGCTGCAGGTGCGCTCCGCCTGCCCCGTGTGCGGCCGCTTCTACGGGCAGCTGGTGGGCAACCAGCCCCCCGACGGGCGCATGCTGGTCACCCGCGACGCCGCGCTGCCCCTGCCCGGCTACGAGGCGTTCGGCACCATCATCATCCAGTACGTCTTCCCGCCCGGCGTGCAGGGGGTGAGTGCGGCCACGGGGAGTGCGGGGTGATCCCAGGTGCCATCGGATGGATGGCCCCGGCCCACCCCAGTGGGTGCCCCGAATGCCCCAGGTTCAGCTCTGTGCCCCCAAATCCTGCTGAGTGTCCCCATCATCCCTGAGTGCCCCAAAACCGTGATGGGTGCCCCAACCCAGTGCTGTGGCCCCAGTGGCCCCGGTTGCCCCAAATGCTCCTGGTCTAGCTCTGTGTCCCCAGCACCCCTGGGTGCCCCCGAGTCCTATGAATGCACCCAGCCACGGTCTGGGGGCCTGGCACCCCTGGGTGTGCCCAAATCTTGTTGGGTGGCCCTGGCACCCTCAAGTCCTGATGGGTGGCCCTGGGTGTCCCCAAATA